TACATTTAATGTAGAAAAGTTATTTTTACCTTATATTTTAAGATCACTTTGAGAAAACAATCCAAAGTAAATATACAGAGTCTTCAAAGATTGTGAGGCGAGCCATTATTTGAAATGGTCCTAGTACTTGAAAAGTGTAGCATCAGCTGATTAGAAACTAATGACATAAATGAAAATGTCCATTTGACTAACTTCCACTCCACTCCCACCTGACTGTCTGTCTGGTGTTCCATTATCTGAGTAATAAAACTTTAGAACTGTTTTTGAGTGGGATGAGTCGATTTTGACAGGGCAATTATGCTTTACTCTTGATTTTCTTTCTTTCTTTGACGCTAACAATATCTTGTTCAACAAACTGCATCAAAACTCTTGTCCTCTTTACTTAATGGCTTTAACTATTGAGAAAAGAATTACTGAAATAAGTGGACATTGAGTACTTGCCACGCTAAAGGAATTGGGTTAGGATATGAGAGTCAGAAGAACGTATAAGAAATAGTACTACAATGTAGTGAGCAGGAGCAAGGGTGCCAAAGTCAGAAAACCACAGCTTAAATTGCAGCCTTCCCTCCTACCAGGCATGTGACCTTGACAAGTTCCTACGTCTCTCTAAGTCATAGTTGTCTCTTTTGTAGAAAAATTTTAATAACAGTGACTGCTTCCCAGGATTGTTACGACAATAAAGATAAAAGCACATAATTCACTATTTGGATTAAAGTTAAGTGACCAACAAATACAGCTAGTTAGCTATTTATATCTTCTTCAAAGAAGATGAAAATGTAGAGGAATCGATAGGAAGTCAAGACGCAGAACCAGGCAGATCTTGGAAAGTGGCACAATGCACAAACTGTAAAGTTCAGCAAAGGGAGAGGCGAGTCCTGGATCAGCATTTTTCTTCTTCATCTTCTTCACCAGCCATGCCACAGCTGAACTGCTATGATTCCGTCTTAAAACTTTGTACAGAGCAGAGTTTGAATTCATAATCAAACAGCTCACCAGTTCTTTAGGAACTCGGAGAAATATTTTATCCTGGTTCATCCAAGATAAGTGATTTTTATATTAAGCAGGTTATTAACTTTAATCATTGGAAAAGACATTCTACCATATTAAGAAGATTTTACTTAATAAATACAGCACAAAAATTCTACTATTTGGGCGGGTTGGGGGAGGTAGTGACAACTGGTTAGCTTGTCAATTAATTTGTTCTGTAGATATTTGCCTTCTTAACTACTCGCTTCCCCACCTTAAACCTCCAAACCTAACAACAACAGCTAGGGCAACAAAAACCTGAAAATACAGGTTTCTCCTTTATCATTTCATTCATTTCCAAAACGTTGGATCTGTAACAAAGTATTCAAATAAGATTTAAATAATGTTAGTCACAATCACACCAATTGATAATCTCTAATCAATTTACACATTCTGATTTTTCGTAATTGTGCTACATCAGGAAAAATGTTTCCTTGACAGAATTTTAATGGGCTATGCTCAAACTACAAATCGTATTCAATAACTGTTGTATTTTAGTAGAGACACTATTAAATTTTCAGATTTATAAGATCCAGACATTTTAAATCTTATAAATCTTCAGTCTTAGCAGAGTGCCTTCTTTTATTTGCTAGGAGGCATTTGTCCATTCCTAACCTTTTTATCTTCAGAAAATAAATGATGCATGTGACTTGAAAATCGAATTAATCTTGACTGAAAAAGAAATAATAAAAATAGCTAATGTTTTTATGATCTCCATAGCAAGCCTACAGGGCAGATACTGTTGCTGTTTCTGTTTTGTAAGATGCATTGTATCTTGCTAATCCTCAATAAATATGAAAAAACGATCATTTCACAGCTAAGAATTCACAAACTGGAACACATTTCTCATTTGAATAGACGAGATAAGCAGGTTGCTACTAGTGCTGCCATCTCTGCCTTTGGGTGTGTCGTGTTTCGGGCAGACACAGCTAGTTCATTCTTAGGTCACTGCTATCACATTTCTATTCATCTATTCCTGGACCAGAGCTCAGATTCACATTCCAAACAGCCTCCAGTCTGAAAGACCATTTTGATATCTACCTTCAGTGACATAATTTGAAGAAATGGGTACCTCCAATTAAACCATTCCAGGTGTAAATTTCTTGCCTGGACAGTGAATTGAGAAATGAATGAGATTCATGAATATAAATTGGGCTTTCCTTACACTTAAGTTTTCATTTTGAAATTGTAGACCGTTACTCGCTCCCCACATAAATCTTGATTTGCCTTAAGTGTGTTTACCGTGGGAACCCCAGTGCAGAGCTGGAAGACCATTGCTGTGCATAACTGAATATTAGAGTTCACAAATCATCGTCAGAGGAGGCCTGGGGAGGGAGACGCTGCAGTGTGACTGCCTCTGTGCTCTCAGCAAAGATGAATTGCGCTCTTCCAGGCTCTGCATCTTTATCGGGATGAGAAGACCCAACCTCCTCACTCTTTCTCTCCTTGAATATTATTTGATGTGTGCTTCCTCTTCCTTCCAAGACCTTTTGTTTTTTGTATGTCTTAATATCTCTGTTTTCATAAGACTTATATTCCCTTCTCTTCAATTTTGGGTTAGAACTGGTGTAATAAATGAATCTCTCAGAGGCCACCTCAATTTATTTTTGAACAGACTCTGTAAAAGAGTCATTTTGAAGATGACTCTGTGAAAGGATGGAAGGATTCAATAAGCAAATACATAAATAATCTTCATACACAAGGCCACTGCACCTCTCCTCCGCTCCTCCCCTCCTTCCTTTCCTCTCCTGTTTTTGTTTACTTAGTAGCTGTGTGTATTCTGCAAAAGGGCCATTGAGGCCAGCTGGGCTTTCAACATAGGACCAAATATAAGTCAGAATTTTAAAAGACATTTCTCTCATTTTCACCCTGTGCTTTGAATCTTCAGCCAGAAACAAGGATCTATGATATTTGCCATTACGTGAATTTGAGAGTGTGCTCCCATTGCCTACTCTTTGCTATAGAACTAAATGGTAAGGAAGACTTGGTCATAGGTTTTCTACAATCATACCAAGTTATTTTCTTGCATATATAATAATTCTTGCTACAAGGCATATGATGTGGCTAGAAATAATGTCCTCATGAAATAGTAAAATAGCAACAGAATTTTTCAGGGCAAATGGATATATGAATTAAGGGAGGAAATCTAGACAATGGGAAATAATAGAAGACAATTTTTTTGCCATTAATGTTAAAAGCAATTTCTCCCCCGTGCCTCTGCATATGAGGCATTTGGGAGGTGGTGAGGACCGTGACATGGCCTTCGTCACATTTCTTATTCCCAAGTCTGATGGTTTTTCCCTGTTGTATAAACTATAAACACTTTAGCTATGCAGCCCTCTGAGCTGACGTTAGTCTTACACAGATCTGCAGAGCATATTAAAGGAAGGCTTTGACTGTGTACAGTCTAGTGTAGCTAGAAGGAAGGTGGTCAATACTCTTATATTCTTAACATGTAGTGTCTCTACAAGAACTTAAAATAACTCAAGTTAAAACCACTATGAAAATGAAGTCGGGTGAGTAATGTCAATGTAAAACAATGTGACACATAAAGAAGGTCAAAGGGTGACTTTGTAAATTACACCCTTGCTTCACACACCAATCTCAGGCACAGGTCAGGCCTCCCAACTTGGCTTTTCCCCTAGTTTGCTCTCTCATGAGTTCTAGACTGACTACACCTTGTTTCCATCTTGTTTTATGAATTGAACTGATCTCCTAACTCAGGGACTGTTTGCAAGCCATTTCCCCAATATTTCTAAGATGAGTGAAGATGTTTTTTGTATGGCAAAAGAGAGCTAAATATTGTCCTCTATAAAGACTATAATTTTACCTTTCCTCAATATAAAGTTAAAACTCTCACATGCACTCAACTAGAGAGTATTTGTTAACAATGCATATTGATTAGGAAGTTTTTTACCCTTTGTTTCAATTTTTAAAATCCTATTGTAAAACTTACAGTCTTTAAGAAAATCTATGATTTTAAAGATTCTATCTCAGAGAATTGTATCAAGACAGCAGTTCCACTTATTCTCAGATACTCCATATGGTTAGTACCAGGAGCTCTGAAAAGACCCTATTTTATAGCATGAAGTGAATCTGTTTCATTTTTCTACCACCATGTCATTTTCACCTAAGTCATAAATTTCTTCCCAACATTTATAAGAACAGTTCACAGCCTTCCTTTAAGAATGCATTTTAAACCATTTGTTGTGGTAAGAATTAAAATAATTAGAACAAATAAATTATGGTCTACTTAAAAAAGGAAGAAAAAAAGATCCAACTAACTGACGCATCCAGAAGAACACAAGCAGATAAATGTTTTAAATGCTGTATTCTGTATTATCTATTATATGTACATGGTCACCTATTGGAGTGTTTTCTCTTGGGAGTTAGTGGTGAAACAAGACATGCTATATTTTTCACTTTCTGTTGCCTTTTGTCTAAGGCAATGGATGTTGAATTAGGGTAGTGAATCATTTTGTTCACTAGGACATGGAAAATAGAATGCATCTGAAGGTAATAGGTCATTTGGTGATCTCTAGGTGAAATGAGGTTGTGCAGAAAGGTAAGAGAATAAGAAATAAGCTTGATAATCTGTGAATTCTCCAAATGTCATCAAACCAAAGCTAAAGACAAACATGAAAGGTATAATTTATAGCTATCAACTTGTGTCGATAGAGGTCTCTGTTTTTGTGTTGTGAAGAATTTACCATTGTCACAAGATGCTCATTGGGCTGTTCTGCATAAGGATGGAAATATCAGTGAATTTTTTGCAGTCATACTCTTGTCCACCCTTAGAAGCAAAAAATGCATTCTTAGCAAATAACGTTCTTGAGAGTGTTATCTGGATAACATTCGTGATATGGAAATTGAAATGTCTGAATCTTGCCTTGTGAGCAAGTGCTCTGACCCCATGAAATATCACTTGTGTTCTTCCTGGCACAACCAGTTCAAAAAGTGGTTTTTCTTTGCAGGTTACCAGCCGGTCTTGTCTGGTCAACAAGGGTTCCAAGGCCTACTGGGAGTGCAGCAGCCGCCTCAGAGTCAGAGCGTGATGAGCAACCAAACAGGAACTCCGGTGCAAAGCGTGATGGTCTCCTACCCAACCATGTCTTCTTATCAGGTGCACATCAGCAGCTTGGAAATTATGGGTCATAAAGTAGCACTTGCCAAAGTAGAGGCTATGGATATGTCCCTATGTCTGGTGGTTGGCTGGGTGGTAGGTGCTAGGCACAGCCATTGTTAATGGTTGACTTTGAATCAAGATTGTAATAGACAAGTAGAAAATGGGAACCGTAAGCTTCTATAACTACTATGACTTTTGAGTGTTCTGCCAGGGGTGGCCCCATAGAAACTTTTATTTGTGGAAGAAAATTCCTTAGTCTAAAGTTCTATTCACGAAGACCTTTGGGTATTCTATTGAAATTTTGCTTATTGAGAGAAAGCCCTCTTGACAAACTCCCATTCATTTTTGTACACACTCCAACTGTTTATTTTACCACAATTTTATGTTATAAGAGATTTTAAAATGGCATTTCAGATTCATTCAAACAGCATTTATGGGCCTAAAAATTGCATTTTTAGACTAAACCCATATCTGATATTTAAAACATTTTATGCACTCTTTTGTGATTTATATCCTGAAATACACTGGAAGCGGAAACAAAGGGTTAGTGAAATGCTTTCATCATTAAATTTGGCTGCACTGGGTACTTCTGGACCTAAAGAACTTATCCTCAGCCCTCCTACCCTGACAATCTGTATTCACATTGCATCAATTCCTATCTCCAGCTCCATATTAGAGGTTCCTTACAGCTGCAGTTTGAGAGCCAGGTAGGTGGCTGGGACAAACGCCCCTTTTGCTATAGATGGGTCCAGGCCACTTTTTTGCATAAAACCAGAATGGGAGCTTCACTTTGCAAACTGAGAGAAATCCAGAGCAGGAGATCCAGGCTGCAGTACCTGGAGGGTAACGAGACAGAAAGAGGGAAACTCAGAACTAACATGTTCAGAGTATTTATTGCCTGCCAGACATGTACCAAGCACTGTCCATAATCCCTGCAATCCTTTTAGTGGTAGTTTGAAGTATCATTATGCAAATTGTCTAGGGAATCAGAGAGGTTAAGTGACTTGCCCAATGTGAAACTGCTGATAAAAGTTAGAGCCGGGATTGGTGACATGTTAGATCTAACCCAAAAGCTTGAATGTTTTTCATGACACCACAGTAGCTCATTGCATGCCCCAGAATAACCTCGTCATGCAGGGTTCTCTCTTGTCTCTTCCTACAGGTGCCAATGACCCAGGGTTCTCAAGGACTGCCCCAGCAGTCTTACCAACAGCCAATCATACTACCTAACCAGGCAAGTCAAGGGTCACTCCCAGCCACTGGAATGCCTGTTTACTGTAATGTCACACCGCCGACCCCTCAGAACAACCTTAGGCTGATTGGCCCACACTGCCCCTCCAGCACTGTCCCCGTGATGTCAGCTAGCTGCAGGACAAACTGTGCGAGTATGAGCAACGCCGGGTGGCAGGTCAAATTCTGAGTGATCTGGCTGGAGTACATTTCTTCAGATATTACTCATGGCCTTTAAGGGAAGACGAGCAAGGTGGAAAACTGGCTGAGGACTTAAGTATTCACTCAACACTCAAATGATTGCTGCTGGTATTCTATAAAAAAAAAAAAAAAAAAGACTAATACACACATTAGCTGGTTAATGGTGCATATTTCTGTCATGTCTGCTAGGTATGCCTTTATAGCTTAGCTAGTGACATGAATTCATCAAGGTAAGATTTTCTCCTACCACTGAATACCACTGTGTAGATTATAATATCCCTAATTTGGATTCTTAGTTTTGTACTTTGTGTTGAGTTTGTGATGCGAAAAGTATTTAAAAATTATATACTGAAATCACATTGTACCAAAGCTGTAATGGAAAAGAATTGATGAATGGAAGGAATAATTTATATACTCTATAGAGTTTTCTTTTTTTAATGGATATATACTGTATTGTAGTGTTTAATCAAAATAAAATTATTTGACCTTACAGAGGAAGGTCATGTTTTTACTACCAGTTTGGTTCACTCTCTCTTCAATGTGTGTTTGCTTATGTGTCACTGTTATCCTCTTTGAGCCTATTTCATGGACAATGCATGGAAAGGATGTTCCAGGCATTTTTTAAGTGAACTGGCATCACATTGGGAGATGTGGTAGACAAACCGTTAACCAATGCTACAGGCATCCTGGAAATAAGATGGCACCCATTTCATCCATTCATTGACTTCACATTTTTTAGATGTATACTTTGGTTTTAGTTTTAGATCTATTGAATGCATGTAGCTATCCTTCCCCAATTAGGAAAACCTGAATGTCTTGGTAATAGCAGCCCTATACCAAACCCGGTTCCACCTTCATTCAAGTTCCACCATCTACCTGGAAAATAAGATTTCTTTGTTTAGAGGAAAATCAGAAGAGGCATGGTCTAATTCCACCAATTATATTGGGTCATGCAATATAAAGTGCCACTAGTATTGACAGTGAGTCAATACTCAAAGATGCTAATGTTTGTCCTAGTAACATAGAAGGAGGTAAAATATAGCAATAATTTGGTCACAAAGACTCAGAACACTGGCAAAACATTTACAAGAAGCTTGTTCCTGTCCAATCTCCAAATGTTTAATCAATTGTGGATTCTGCAGGTAAGATTGGTTTATAAAAGCCTTTGAGAAACAATAACAGAAGTCTGAATAATAGCTGTGGTCCTTCTGGGAGATATTTAATGGGGGAATAAAGCCCCAGAGCTTCCCCTTTGCTACCACAGTACAAGGACTAATAGTTTTGTATTTTATATTCTCTGCCTAAAAATTGTTATTACCAAATAGAGGGATATGAAGAGTGTATCTGGATAATTCCCATTGTTTTTCATATTATCACATTATCTGTGTTATATTTTTCCATTTTCATGTTGTTTAGCTGGAGATGGAATTAAGCAACTGGTTAAAAACTCTAACAGATGACCATTTCTCAAGTTTATACCGTCGTTTTCTTTTTCCTTTAAAAAGGAAGTTTTACACATACTCTCGTTAGCTTCATTCCTTGTGAAGTCTGTCCCATTTCCACAGATCTCAGTCTATAGATTTCTTCACTGTAAATAATCCCTGACCTTGAAAAATGTTATAAAAACAGGATGTTGCATTTTTTTTTTATTGAGCCATTAAGCCCATAGGCTGAGTAGCTATTAAACCAATAACTGCGCTGAGAAGGAGCAATGTGTTTGCCTAATTAATTCTTTCCCCTAATGAAAGGAGGGGGCTGACCAACATAGATTCGTTTTTGAAATATATTCTCCATTTAGCCCTCTGATCTTGGCAGTGGTCCCAAACTCAAGAATTTAAATACGAGTCTGAATGTTTATCTTCTTTTCATAGAATTCTGGGAAATTTTTCTCTTTTCTTTAATGATTCCTAGAATTACTGAGCCTTCTTTCCCATGGATTTGAAACATACAGCATGTTAGTAGTAAAGACAGGCCTTCTTTCTCTTTGGCCACTTCTCCAAATGTGCCACCCTCTCTCCTATTTAGACGTTTGACTTTCATTGCATAAATCCCTTTGGATACCATTTCGGGCTGAGCCTTCTTCTCTATTTTCACTAAATATTGACATCCAGCATTATGTTATTCTAAATCTTACAATATGCTTACTGACTTTTACATTAGAATATCTGAGATGGTCAGAAAGAGAGATAGTTTTGTTAGTGAAGCTTTTCCAGAATCAATTTATTGTCAGAACATTCCATTTTTTTATGTTGGTTAATAATTTTATCACAATCACATTTTGTAATTACCTATTATTCAATTTGTAAGCTTACATAGAAATATATGGATACATATATATGTAAATATAAAGATATATAGATATAGTCATCTCTAATAATCTTCTATACCTCTGTGTGAGTATAAAACAGAACAAGAGTGACTTATGCTTTCATTTATTCAGCAAACTTTTAGTGCATCCTTGATTGTATCCTAATTATGTGGCACTATTCAAAATGAGTACAAATAAATTTAAAGCACTTAGATTTATTCTTGTAAGTTTTATCATACATTTGGTTTTTCTGTGATCATTGGAACTTAATGTGCTAACTAGGTACCAATGAATTTCAGCCATAATTTTTTACTGTTTTACCGTAGTTCCGCAGGATGTGGGGTGGGATAGGAGAGTGTGTTATATAACATTATGGAAATGGAATTATGTAATTAGTTATAAGTATGGTTGGAGGATTTAGAACAAAGTTACAAATCATCATAACACAATAAGTGGGTACATTTGAGCCAGAGGAGCTTTACAAGAGAGATTTGAAGGGCAAAGCGAATACAATGGGGGAAGAAAGAATGCTGCTGCAGAAATGGCTTTTGAGATCGAATAAATGCATATTTAGACTCTGCTTCCACTTTTGCCAGCAGCTAGAGTGTGATGGGATGCTCTCATCCTCCCATCCTCCTGTTACCTGCATTCTGTACAAACAGGTACATTCTGTGGATAGAGGCGCAGGCCCACCCCTCCCCTGTGCCCTGGCACTTACCATCACAGGCAACTTCATCACTCACAGACCAAAAAGAAAGGATTGTAAATACCTCACCCTAAGGGTGGAGTTAAAATAAATCATTTGGATTTTGCATCCAAGCAATTTATTAGAATATTATCTATAATATTAGTATTAGATATAATAGTATCTATAATATTTTCCGTGGAAGACTGTTTCTTCGGGCTACTTATAGACGTTATTTGAGAAAGACTCTTCCAAGGACAATTATGATTGGGAGACAAAGTTACTGAATGTTAAGCAATCTTTTTAAAAGCTATCTGATTTCTGGAAACCTTTAATATATCACTTAATATTGTGAATTTCCATGGGGGAGGCATAATTTGCATAATTTCTCAAACTTATTTGAACACAATATCCTTTTTTCACAGAATACTATATCAAAAAGACTAATATTATGAGGAACATATATTTGTTAAAAGTTATATTAGAAAGTCCTGAAATAAGAATACTAATATAGTTCTTCTATTTCTGTAGAAACTATGTTACATATCAACATGTAACATCACAATACTACTTCCAACCGTGACAGCTTTTGGTAACTACTCTAATATTTCCTCCATGAATGTGTGAGGCTGGGAGGTAATGACACAGCGCCAATTTTTCTGGCCTTTTTGTTTTGAATTCTTAATCTTGAAGGATGTGATATTTATATCTAAAATTATAGCAACAGCCATATAGATATATATATACAGTTACCTCTAATGATCCTTTAACTGCTACGTGAGTGTAAAAGAGAACAAGAGTGATTTATGCATTCATTTAATCAACAAGCTTTTATTACATGCTTACTAATTTCAAGACCTTGTGCCATGGTCTATGGAGCCCCTGCCTTTAGGAAGTTTATGAGTTTTCAGAATAAATTATACCAGATAAATAACTAAAAATATAGGAAGTTAGTCATGTGAAAAATACATGTAAAAATAGAGTTTTGGAGAAGGAACAGATGGCTGCTGGCTGCTGGCTGCTGGCTGTGGCTTTTGCCCTGGGCTACGTTGGATAGGTGGAATGTGGGCGTGGAGACAGGGTGGGTGAATCACAGCTCCAGCCAAGAGAAGCGCTGCAAAGAGAAAGAAAGAACCACAGGAAAATAGCAACGTTATAATTCGAGTTGGTTACAGTAGGAGGTGACTAGATAGAAGGAGGGGACAGGAGGAGTATTTGGAAATTCATGGTGGGTCTGGCTGGCATGACCTCAAAACCCAAGCAAAGAGTTAGTAGGCAACTAGGGCCTTCTGACAATTTTTGAATGAAAGGTAATGTGATCTCAGCCATGGTTCATAAAGAAACATGGGCCTCAAAAGGTAGGATGAATTAGACTCGAAAAGGCTCTTCATTGAGAAACTGGAGGTGAACACAATAGTTAAGGTTTGGCACTGAACCATGGCTACCATTAGTATTGTTGGTATAAGTCAGAAATGAGTTCCAGCTCTTCACTCTTAATACTTAGCAATTCTATTGCACGCACAGCAAAGCTTTAGTGGTATATATCTTATTTTTTGCTCTTGGACAGAAACTTCTGAATGTCAATGCCCTGTCTTTAGCTGCACTAAAAGGCACAGTTACTATAACTCGTCAGAGTAAAACAAATGAAGACTGAGCTGAAACTGCAGACAGCATGGGAGGGCTGCCAAGTCTCCATTACAATGTATTCAGTATTGATACACAATATGCAATGAAATCTGATTGTCAGCTTCCTATTTCCCCTTGTTTAAAAAAATCGATAGAACGCTTATTCATTATAGCTCAGAAAAAAATTTTTGTTTTCTGTACCGTTATGGATGCCACTTCTACACAAGACCAGAAATCTTTGCTTCTTCCCATGTTATATTGCCCAAAACTCTCTTTACTAGGAAAGTTGTTCTCTTTTGGGCTTTGAGATTATTTTCCAGTAGTTCTCAGCTTTAGTGTTTGTTTCAAGTTCAAATCTTTATCACTTGATTTCTATGGGGCTTTGCAACCTTCAATCTTCTCTACAAAAAGATTTGCCACGATTATGTGTCATCAGTGGCAAGAGCTTCTTACTCTTTGAGCTGGGTTCTCTGCTGCTCCCAGCTTTGTGTGCACAGTGGGGGAGAAAGGCATCCGATACTTTTTGTTTTTTGTAGAGGAAAATCATTTCCTGATTGATGTCCTAACAGAGATCTGATTCCTCTACTGGGCATGAGGCTGCATTCTCTAAGACAATATTAACCATCTCCCTGACTGCAGAAGCTCAAGGAATGCTTTGATGTTTGTGTTCATTATTTGATTTGTTTTGTTTTACTGCTTTACTCCATTTTGATCTCTCTGTTGGCGTAGAAGGAGAGGGACGAGGTCAGATATTGAGCAAACAGGAGAAGACATAAATCTGAATAGAGGTGAAGCCTGAAACTGGATTTGATGGACCGTCAAGAAACAAATCCAACAGGCATATCATGATGATGCATCTGCAGATGATGCATAGGTCCAGACAGATTCGGCTGGATAG